CGAGCAGGTCCAGAGAGGTGATCCTCCCCCTTTATGCGACACTGGTCAGGCCGCAGTTGGAGTACTACATCCAGTTCTGGGTGCCGCACTTCAAGAGGGATGTGGACAGCATAGGGAGGGTCCAGAGGAGGGCCACTCGCATGATCAGGGGACAGCAGGGCAGGCCCTATGAGGAGAGACTACGGGACCCAAACCTGTTCAGCCTCCACAAGAGAAGGCTGAGGGGGGATCTTGTGGCCTGTTACAAACTGGTCAGGTGGGGTCAGAAGGCACTGGGGGAGTCATTGTTCCCCCGAGCACCGCCAGGAGTGACCAAGAACAATGGTCACAAGCTAGCAGAGGGTAGGTTTAGGTTAGACATCAGAAGGCGCTATTTCACGGTCAGGGCGGCTAGGGTCTGGAACCAACTTCCAAGGGAGGTGGTACAGGCTCCTACCCTGGGGTTTTTTAGGAAGAGGTTAGATGAACACCTTGCCGGGGTCATTTGACCCCAATACTCTTTCCTGCCATGGCATGGGGTCGGACTAGATGATCTTCTCAGGTCCCTTCTGACCCTAGAAACTATGAAACTATGAAACTTTATATGTACATATTATCTACATAATGTAACAACATAGATAAAAGTAGGAACAATCTCTGCTTTGTAATAAGATTCCCTGTATTTTTTTCAATAATCACTGTTTGGCCTGATACTCCAATTTTGAAGTCTATTTCTACTTAGTTAAAATGTCTTCACCCTTTCTGCCCCCCCCAATATAAATATAAAAGTGTCCTCCAAAGAGATATTAACAAAAAGGAGGTAAATGGCAGAACGTTTTAAAATAAAATAAATGATCGTTGTTCAGAAATGGTTAAAAAATAGGGACTCCTCTGGGTAGATATTGACCACAAAACGGAATGAATCAAGTGGAGAAAGAGAGGATGACTGAACCATGACAAAAAAACCCCACTGATATGATTGGTATAAGGTGCAAATCTACCCTACTGTCTGCCTGACTTCACACTACAATGGCTAGCTATCCCTCTAAGGCAGGGGTGGGCAAAATGCGGCCTGCCAGGCTATTCTGTCTGGCCCACGGGGGCCCTAAACAATTTAGAAAATTAATATTTATCTGCTCCTGGCTGCCTGCCATGCAGCCCTCGATGGCTTGCCAAAACTCAGTAAGCAGCCCTCCACCCAAACTAATTGCCCACCCCTGCTCTAAGGGTACATGAAAGGATTACATTTAGATCAACCTAACCAAGGTTGGATCCATTTAAATGCCCAGTTGTGCATGTGTTCATAGGGTTTAAATCATACAAATCAAGGAAGGGTTAACCTAGTTATGAAGGGTTCTACTGAACACCTGCACATATTCACAGCACAGTCCTGGGACTGAGAAAGCCTAGCCACTTGTCCCAACCCTTGGGGCAGTGCTGTTCCTAGCCCCACTAACCCTAACTGGGCTGTTTTTATTCTCCTCAGCTTGCCTCTGCAGACCCACCTTCAGCACATGCTTGCATGTGCCACTCCTGGCTTTGGTTTAGGTGGTTTAAAACACCCTAAGAAGTACTGATGTCATGGAGTCTGAATATTGCAAAATAAAGCTGTGTTTGTAACTGAACATTGCTCATCTGGATTAAAATAACAACGAAAACAAAGTAACTAGGAACATTTGTAATTTAGTTAATGGCTTTAGTTCAAACCCAGGCTATCTTGAGTTAGCTAATCTGGATTAAGAACATTTTTCTTTGGAAATAATGTTTTCCTATCCTCTCCCTTCCTTCCTCCCTCCCTCCCTCAATCCCTCCCACACACATGCATGCACAGAATGGGCACAGCTGTTTAGAGGACTGTACAGTTTTATCTCATATATATATATATATAGATATATATAGATCACAGTTATCCTTCAGAATCCCTTTTTCATTAACATGTGGAAAAGTTCTTTTAACATAGTGGTGAGGACCTGGCAAAAGGACAGAGATACATGGAACTATGATATTGTTTGTTCAAAGTGCTTGAGACAGAAAAGTGCTGTCCCCAGAATAATTATCAGAGTTCCTGGAAACTGTATAGAGCTAGGAGAGGTCTTCTGTTATGTACAGGAAAAGAATTTGGAATAGGATCTTGTCCTTTACAGAGAAGTCATGTGTAGTTTTCATATTATTATTATTATCCATATTACTGTTTTAAGCACTGTCCAGGACTGATACCTCTTCATTGGGATAGAACCTTCAATCCTTTAACATTATAATCTTCACTTACTGAGGAAATAGAAGCATGATATGAATTGTTTCAAAGGGTTGGTGTACATTTCTGTTATGATGTATTAATGTTTATTTTGTTTTTAAAATGCACATTATTCCTTAAGTTATATTAGAAAGAAAACCAGGGGTAACTTAAACATTTTGATGTTTGGAAATTTAAAATGCCTTTTATTCTTTTATAGCACTATTCAAGAACAACAAAAAAAATGTCTAGTAAGATTGGAAGTCTTTGGTTAATCTAGCATAATGGTGTTAAGTGCTTAGAATAGTCCATTATCTAAAATGCAGCCAAAGAGATATCCTGTTGTCCTTCTTTGGTTTTGAAGAATTAACAAATATTTTTAATTATAGTATCTCAAAGATACATAGCAATCATAAGCACTTCCCTGTCTCATTAATATGGGATGTGGAGAACTGACAATTGCATGTATTGTGTGTAAAAATAATATTAATATGAATTAATATGAATTAGTTAAATTTACTCAAAATGTTTGCATTTTTATTACTTTATCAAAATTTTCTTTTATTCACATCATGTGATTTTGTTTGATCTTTTTAAAACAAGAAAGTTTATGCTTAGTTAAAAAGGTACTTTTATTTTGTTGGTGGTTTTCTTTTCTTTTTTTTTCTTTTTTTTGTTTTCCTTTTCTTTTATGAAAAAATAAGTAAAGGCTGCACAGTTTGACAAAAGTTTAAATAACCCTAGTGTTGCATGGGAAAAATGTTTCTTACAATCACAAAAGCATGATTAAGTAGGCAATGTTTTAGAGTATATTGGCATTCAATGTTGAATTTTGTGCACATGTTTTTTATTTTGTTGAGAAAAATTGCATGTCATTAAAAAAGTGGTTCACTTTCTTTTCTCATTATTTCATTTTTTTTATATGTGAAGACACTGTAAATTTATTTTGATTTAATTTTCTTTTTGTTAGATTTATTTTCCTCTGTAGTGACATGTAGAAAGGTATTTTTGGTATCATTCTTTGAATTCTTCAGGCGGTACTATCTAACTTATGAAAAAGATTGTTCACATTTGTCGCTTATTTATTGCACATCTCAATAAAATTATAATTTCTCTAATTTGCATGTTACAGAAATGAAGCAAGAACAAGAAAATATTAAATTAAAGCGAGAAAACATAAGCAAACAAGTGGTCATTGACTGAAATAATAATGTGCATGTTGTTTTCCCCCCTTCTCCCTCCTGCATGCAGGGATTTGGTTTCGTAACTTTCGAAAATAGTGCTGATGCGGACAGGGCGAGGGAGAAATTACACGGCACCGTGGTAGAGGGCCGTAAAATCGAGGTGCATGTTCAAAATATTTTCCTTTTCATCTTTTTTATAAATGTCTGCTTCACTCTCATTTGTTGTTTCAGAAGCATCATTGGTGTCTTTTGTGTGCTCCCCTTCTCCCTTCCCATTGTTTATATATATATTTATATATAAAGAGAGATCTGGCCTTACTTGGGTTTTTTTTTAATTATTATTTCTTTTGTACTTTATTATTATTATTATTATATTATTATTATTATCATTATTATTGCTGAAAGGTGGATGACAGAAATGAGACCATATGAAAGCTTTAATACTTTGCAGTTATTATTTTGGATGTTTTGTAAATCAATGGGTGCAGTAGATTCCAAAAAACAATGAGCAAAAAATAAAATTGAAAACAAAATCAAACAGAAGGTCGTTTTTTGTTTTTGTTTTTTATTTTTGTTTTTGTTTTTTCGCTGCAGGGTTGATGTGGGATCCGCAGTGGCTTCCAAAAAAAAAACACCTCAGATTGGGAGACACTAGCATCCAAAAGATGTAAATGAAGAAGAAACAAAAGAAAACCAAATCCAACCTGGTCAAAAGCTTGATTGTTGAGTAGCCACCAAGCTACTTTACTTGGTTGGGCTGAACCCGTCCATCTTATCAGAAAACAAAACCAAATGTTTTTCATGCCACAGGATCCCCTTCAATACTGCCTCAAAATCGTATTTGTTAGAATAAAAAAAGAAAGAAAAAATACCAATTGAAAATGCTGTCGTCTTTTGAGTAAGATGTTGCATATTTTGCCTTTTCATTTTCCCCCTTCGACGGTAGCGCTTAGGGCCCTCACCAAACTCTCAGTAACCATGGTAACTGTATACATACCCATGCTGGCGATGGTGCTGAATGGTAAGTGGAGAAGTCCATCTGCCGTTTCACGTATTTAGCGCTGATATACCACGTGAATTTTTTTGACTTGTTGTATTAAGTTTTCTTGATGCTACATTTTTTTCTATATTGGTACGCCTGTAATTGAGTGTACGTTTTAAGCAAGCCTGGGAGGCACTGATTGGATTGAGGATATGACTTCGTGCACATCTTACTCAGATTGTTAACTCCATATTGTGTTAAATAATGCACCCTCTTTTTATCCTTTTGTTAGCTGTGATTTTAAAGCTTGAATGATTTTGTTAATTCTTGCAATGAAAAAGGCTCTTGTTCCAAGTGTTGAATGCTAGATGTTGCTTTTCCAATGGTACTTCTCTTCTAAAGGGTTATGTTGCACACTGCTAAAATTCGTTTGTCCCTTTTTTTGACATTTTCTTTGTTTCCTTGTACCTTGTCTCTCCCCCTCTACTCCACTGCATGTTCCTTCATATAAGTTTTTTTTTAATATTTATTGTTTCAGTGTTATCATGGAATACAAGCATGCTCTTAAATCTTAAATTATGCAGTACCTTTTAATTTGCTTTTAATGTCTCTTTATTAAAGTTTAAATGATATGATGTTGCTTTATTGAAATGATTTGTAAGTTAAAATGGTTATGAAAGTAAATGTAATTATAAATAGTCTGATTTTGTTATGCACCTACTGCCTTCTATAAATTAAATTGCATTTTATTTTTACATAACTAATAGCAGTAATAATGCATGCATTTAATAGCACCATGGGTTCTGTATATAACATTTGCTAATTCAGTGTTCTATGTGTGTAGGTAAATAACGCGACAGCACGTGTAATGACAAATAAAAAGACAGTCAACCCTTATACGAATGGTAAGTGCAGAGGTTTTTTACACTTCCCTTACTTTCTTTTACTGGCAAATACCGAAGTGCATGTAGGCAAGATTCTTTTTGCAAGCTACTGCCTATAAGCAGATTTCTTTATCAGTGTAGGACCTGCTGAAGTCTCCTTTCCAGGGACTAGACCCATGCATAGGAATTTCATTGCAGGTTTAAGGCCTGTGGTCCCATTTTTATAACTTGCTATGCATGGGTGAATTACTGCATCCAGACAGAACTCAGCTGAATTCCTCTTTAGGATGGAGGACTCCTTTTGATCACAGATTTCAGGATTGGGTCCTAAATGTGTATCTACAATAATTGAATATAAATTGATTCTACATGTATAGGATAATGTACCATGTTAGAACTGGTTTGCTAGCTTCTTGTTTTGTGTGGTGTTTGCATTGCAGTAAAAAAAAACAAACTAATGATAAGAGTCAGTTTGCATTGGATAATGGATGTAACTGGTAGTAAAAGCATTTCTTCCATCTAGCATGAGACACTTGCTACGGGGTGAATCTATATGAGATGCTTTACTGCATAGTAGACTAATTTACTGCACAGTAAAGCATCACCATCTACATGTGTGCAGCAGTTAGGGCTCAGTAGATTAATTTACTGCACAGCCGGATAGTCCCATCAGATACAAGGGGTATCTGGCCATGCAGTGAATTGCTGTGCTTAAACATCTAGACAGTGACATTGGGATTAGTTTACTCCCACTCAAATTGAGCCAATGTATATCCAGTTGCATTAATTGCACATGTAGACATACCCACTGTTATCAAACACACAGTTCAGTCCAAGGTTTTTGGTTAAGTTACAGTGAGTGGTTAAGTTAATGTTTTTTTGAAGATAAAGAGTAAACTAATTGTAGCATCGCAGTTATGCCTGCCATTTTTGCACAAGAAGCTAATTTCAGACATACCCAAAAGTTATAGCTATATTGTTAATTTTAACAAATTGATATACTATTGGAAAAATTGGGAAGCCTTTTGGGTAATCTCAGATTATTTTGGAAAAAATTTCATCCTCCCTTTTGGCAATGTTTAATTCATTGCCCACAAGGTCTTTTTCAGTGAATTAATTTTAAGAACTCTTGCAGCTCTCAAACAATTCCGAAACTGAAACAAATTGAACTTATCTATGGTAATGTTTTGTTCCATTTCACCTGGATACTGTAGCTACATGTGTTTGCTTTTCAGGTTAATGCTGTTTTTACCCTTATCTCAGTTAAAGTTGAACATTCATGATCTATAAAGGCAAGTTCCACAGCTGCCTGAATCATTTTTTCAGTGCTGAAATATAATTCACTTTGTTTTGCACAAAGTGCTCACTAGTGTGATTTTACTAAAAAGTGGGGTGAACAGAAGTGAGCTGCTTTATTTTTTAATGATTTTTGTCATACTTTTTCCTACCACAGTAAAAATTGAATATAATAACACATAATAACAGTTCTCAGCTTGACATAAAGTTATTGAACCTCATTATAATAATCAAGGGGGCGAAGAGAGAAGGGGAATTAGCATTTCCTCAAGCTCTCCCAGAAATGTTTCTTTCTTTAATATATTTATGTAAATATGTATTTCCAAATGATGCAATTAAGAAAAATCTCTTTCATTGCTGCTCATGTTTATATAGCATGTTGCCTGAGTCAGGCAGACATGTGTCTTGATAGGGTCATTCATATTGATTTCAATAGTAAAATGGATCATTTACACGTGAGCATTTTACTTTGTCTAATATGTTACAGTGATAGAAGGATAAAAGGTTTTTTATGAATGATGACATTCAGTTTTGCATTCATAACACTGCAAAAGCTCAGAAATGGAATTTTCTCTGGTAAATATCAAATACCAAGTCCAACCAGAGGGATGCTGCTGCTGTGATGGCATGCTCAGGATTGCAACAACTTTAACTTGAAGGTTATTTTATATCTTTGGGAAAACTTACTTCTGTGTCACACAATGGAGGTGTTATATTGCTTGTATATTGTCACTTTTATTATTAAAAATCATTAAAGTATGTTGCTAAAAAAAGTTCCCTCAAGGTGCCTTGTCTCCATGATTTTGAGTCATGTCCAAATAGGCTAGATCAAAATTATTGCTTCTTGTTTCATGTTTAAAAATCAACATTCAAATATTTAAGCCCACATGATATGTGGTACATGATGCATGGTACCACTTAGACATGTGGTACAAGATCAAAGTATTACGTATATGCTTTGAGCCCCTTTTGATACATTGAGCCCCTTTCAACAGCTAGCTGTGATAGAAAGCCACAGATAAGGGTTCATGTAATATGTTCCTATTATTTAAGACCTATGACCCCATATAGGGATCACATATAGATAACTGCCTCACTGTCAGAAAGCTAAATATGTTGGGCTATAACATTCATTATATTCATAGGAACAATAAGCAGATGTGATTTCCAAAGACATGCTTTAGCTTCTTCAATCAATATTCCCATTATCAATCACTCACAAGCTGTTTGGTGATATTTATTAATCATTTTCTTGTTTGTCAGTAGTGAACCAATGCTTTAGTATATTTTTAAAAAGCAGTTTACAGTGGATGGTGACATGTTTCAAATGAGATGTAAAAGTTAAAATAGAAATGTCATGTTATTAATATCCTTCCATATAAATGTTAATATTTGCAATAAGTTTCCAGTTCTAATAACCTGGGATAATCTGTTTACAAAATGAGTAATCTTTAGACCTTCTTAAAAAAAAAAATCAGGGCTAGATTTTTAGGTGTATCACTGGTGTGAATATCCAGGCACGCAGATTGCACTTTTAGAACTCACAATATGCTGTATTTTGCTTCATCCATTCATGTTGCTGGTTAGTTTTAGTAAGGCATATAATGAGTGCAATACTTGTAAAGTGAGGTAGAATAAACAGCATAGATAAATAGAATAAACCAGAGTTTTTAAAAGATATGGAAAATGCCAGCCTATTTCATGTAAGCTTGGAGATTTTGAATTTTTTTTTCCAAAAACTTTAGATTCCCAAAACAAATTGTCCATAACTGTCCAGTTGCTAGCATAGCTAGTCATGCAGGTTTGAGTGAAGAGATAAGTTGAGGATGGGAGTTGTTTGTTTTTTGGTTGTTTTTACCAGCCCTGTAACATTTGCTATATTTGTTAGGAAAAAAATGACTGTTTCTTTCATTGGGTATAGGTTATAGCCTCATTGGTCTAAGGACATTGGCAGACAAGGTTCTTTGGGTAAATCCAATATCTTTTATTAGACCAGCTCAAATAGTTGGAAAAAATCTTCTTTGCAAGCTTCCTCAGCCTAATGAAGGGTGTTTGTACCCAAAAGCTTGAAAAAAATTTTTTTTCCAACTATTTGAGTTGGTCTAATAAAAGATATTGGATTTACCCAAAGCAGTTTGTCTACTTTTTCATTGTAATTCAGGGACATGCACTAATTTGGAAAACAAGTATTTTGAATTAATCTTTAGATTTGTCCAGCCTGTCTCCCCCACATTTTAGTGCAAGATTGTTGAGGGCTATAGCTAATACTATGTTAGTTAATTCTTTGTTTTAAGATACATTTTATAGCTCAAGGCACTTGACCAAACCTTGTGGCTTAGGCAGTCTGCAAAAATGTATAAATGTTATTGGAGAATTTTGGAGCTGGGGCCCAAGCTGATTGAGAAATGCTCACTACAAAGTAAGAGAGGGACAGGCAAGGACACTATGAAGCTTACTTTCACGCTCCCTCGATCAATGGCTTCCCTCTCCTAAGAATAAAAAAACACCATTGCAGATAAGTGCAAGTAAGACAACTGTCCATGCCATTCTTCTTTCTTTCAGCCATGCTCCACATGTCAGGAATGAGAAAGTTTTCTAAGAGCCTCTGGTCCTTACCTGGGGTGATCCTTTCCTGGTTTCCTATGCCAAATGTACAGCCAGAATCCACTGGCCTTAGAACTGGAAATAATTCTTTTACATTATTTTGTCCATCTTCCTGCCACAGCAGGTTTACTCCCTTCAGTGTACAATTCTTTCCTACAGTGTACTTAACCTGTATTTCTTTGGCTGAACATATGGGTTTTTTTTTCTGAGTTCTAGCTTTTAGAGTGTCAACATGAGGGGGAGATTAGTGTTGTGACAGTAAGACAAATGCGCAAAATTACACCCACTGCAGAGAATTTGCCTCCTCCAACTGCTAATCTGGGGTTCCTTGGCAGTTTCTCACTCTGATACATCAGCTTCTATCACACTTGATTAACCCACACAGTTATGGGCCAGCACATACTTCATTGACAAGACAAAGTAAAGTTTAATTGCTGTTATTTTCATGATGAATGAAGTCTTTTCTGTATTAGCTTCAAAAAGTTTGATGATACAGCCATCAGAATGGGGGTGGGAAGGAAATGAAATATGAGAGTGACTTTCAGCTGTGAGCATCGATCTGCATCTCCCAAGATCTTTTTTTTCTTCTGGACAAATTGAGGAGCCATTAGTGTAACTTAAAATCTGAGAAGTATCTGTCAGCTTCCATGACAGCAGAAGCTGATGGATCGAAATTCAGTCAAATCACTCATCTCTTGCACTATGCTGGTCCATGATCTTTAAGGAGCAAATGAGTTTTAAATATGTTAAGGTAAGACAGAGAGTTAGACTTTAGTACAAGTTTTTAATGGACAAAACATTTAGAGAATTCCACTAATTAAAGAGAAAAAGAAAACAGAAAATGCCAGCCCCTAACCAGCAATAATTTGGCAGTCTTGTGGCGATTTACTCCTGAAAGAATGAGTGTAAAACTACCAATATAAAAGAGAAAGAGTTAGCTATCTGAAGTTAGGTATAAGGCAGGGTAGAGATACACCTTATACAGAACATTTACAGAATTCTGTAAATTGAATCAGAGATAAATAAGCTTGAGTTGAAAGAATAAAATACTAGATACACACACATTTGTTTAGCTTCTAGCATCCAAGTCATCTCTTATTACACATGGAATTATTTTTGCGGCGCTAGGTTCAATTAGTTGTCAATGAACACCTCTTGACCTAGGATAAAATGGGAATGTGCAGATGAACCTTTCATGAGTTAGACAATTTTTTTCATAATTCTCAGCCTTTGCATAGGCAAAGTTTGTAATAGGTGTGTTGTGTGATATTCAGATTGAAGGGCAGTGAGAAAGCTGTATACGGACACTTCTCATGGCATCTGACTAGAATGCAGTGTTTGCTAGCCAGAGTTTAAGTTTATCAATCAGTATTTTATGAGCATCAGCAGGTGCAAAATTTAATTTATTTTTCAATTAAAAAAAAATCTTTAGAATCATTATTCTTATTTCATGGTTAAATTGCCAGAATATTATTCATATAAAGACAGACAGTTTCATCATTTCTTCACTGGTATGGCTACTGTCATTAAATGTATATCTCCATATCAAATACCCATTAAACATGGTTGTCCTGAAATAATTGCTTTATATATGCTCTTATTTCCTATATATAAATGTGACCTTTATATCTATTTATATCTAACTGTAATAGTAACTCAATCCTGTTTTTTTGTATGTTTGCTTCAGGCTGGAAATTAAATCCAGTTGTTGGTGCCGTTTATAGTCCAGAATTCTATGCAGGTAAAAATATCCCTTTACTTGTTGATTTTATCTTGTGTTTTTTATTGTGGAAAGTTTGTCAAGTGTTTAGAGTATAAGCTTGTTTCAAATTGCTTGCCCATCGCTAGGAAGTTCATAATATAGACTTTCCCCAAATAACTGGTACATACCCCTAGAGCAGTGTTTTCTAACTAGTGTGCTGCAGCACGCTGGTGTGCAGTCAGGCACGTCCAGGTGTGCTGCAGCATTTTGGGCTGGATCCACACCCCCTGCCTAGCTTTAGCCCCATCCCCTGCTGCCTGCTGCTGCAGACACAGATGGACAAAGAGCATGGGTCCAGCCAGGCAGGGGTGTGGCTTCAGCCCAAATGCTGTCCAGCTGGCCGTGTGCCACCCCTCCCCATCGGCATCCAGCTGGCTGTGCACCACCCCCTGGTCAGTGTCCAGCTGGCTGCACATTACTCCCCCCACCTCTGCTCCACGTCCAGTGTGCCATGGTGCTTTTTATTTAGGTAAGTGTGCCGTGGGGCAAAAAGGGTTGGGAAATGCTGCCCTAGAGTGCATTCTGACCAATGTTATACAATAGGTAATATAAAGCAATGTGAAATGTGCGGCAAGATTTACATTTTATAGCTTATTTTTTTTAGTATATCAGCATGTATACTTTTGCCCCAAGGAGTACTTTTGACTAGTGAAACAGAAAAATATAATTCTGAACATTTTTTTTTACTTTTAAATATTTATATTTTAATTTTTGTCAACATTTTGTTTATATTTTTTTTTTGTATACAACTTTAAACCTATTTGGGAAGATGCAAAAACCATGCTATAACTCCAGGTTATTCATAAATTATTTGCTATTTAGGATTAGAATAGTTAAAGTGAAACAGGCTTCTTTGTTCATTCAGTCTAAGCCATTTCCAGGGCAGTATAATATACCAGCAATTAAAGATATATCACATACTGCATATACTGAATTGATACTTCACTGGCACTGGTTTTATTAAGTAAACTTTTCCAACCATAGCTATTAATACTACAGCATGTCATACATCATGAATTATTCTTTAGAATTGTTATTGCTGAATACAGACATATACAATTCTGAGATGCATGTGACTTTAAAAAGAAATTTAAACTTTTAAATACTAATCTGTATATATTGTATCTGGTTTATCTGTTGAAACTATACTGCAGCTGTTGATACCTGGGCTAAAATCTCATAGGTGTCCGTGGCCTCTGCCAGACCTGAAAGTAAATGTGCAATGAGATCTGATGTGGGATCCCCAAAATTGTGCTTCTTGCCAGGTCACACATGCATCAGATACCATTGCACCATTTTGCCAGTTCAGGGGGAGCCCCAGCTCAGGCTCCCTTTGCACTGGCAAGCAGCAAGCTTGGCTTCCACCCCATGCTCTCCTATGGCTGGGAACCCCATCAGTTGATCAGAGCTCTCAGTGCGGGGGAGAGGTACCATGTTCTTCCCCAGCTGGGAGCCTCTTCAGCTGATCAAAGGTCTTAGCCAGGGGGACACATCAGAACTGGGGGAATGCACCTTCAGCTGAGGGGCTACCAGCCATGCGAATGCAAGAGAAGTACAATCAGCTGAGGAGTACTTCCAGCCTCTGGAGCACATGGGAGTCTTGAAAGGCTCCCATGTGCTCCATATGCTGGGCACTGCTTCAATTGAAGGTATGATAAGAACTAGACACAAAGTTATTACACATATTTTTGTTGCCAAATGTTACACATAATTTGTGTTATGACTTTGTGGATTATTCCTCATTTTATTATATCATTAATTGAATAAAAGTGTGGTCAGGTCACTATTTAAGATGTGATAAAAGGTAACATCTGTCAGGGGCCAACCGAACTATATTTTAATTTATTTAAATATAGAACTAGGCCTATAATCAGTATCCTTTAGAAACAGTATACACTTCAGTTTGGCCTGACCTGAATGCATCTGAGGTCAGTTCAAATATCTCAGTTGACTTCACTGGATTTTTAATCTGGTTGTTGGAGAATAGATGGCAGCTATTTTGGAGGGTGTACCTTATGAAAGCAAATATTTTGATTGCAAAAGGCAAACAACTATTCTGTTTTTAAGTTTCTAGTTAAGACTCAAATCATATACCATATTTGCTCAGATAGAAGATAATCCTGACTATAAGAAGAAACCCCAATACTTAGATTCTATATATGGAAAAGTTAGAAATTTTTTTAGTGTTCCCTCGCTTTATGTGGGTTCTCTGTATGCAGATTTGCTCTTATATGATGACCCTTTTTACAGCCAAATTTCATTATATGCGAGGTAAGTCTGTAGGGGAAGGGGCAGGAAGAGGGGCATGGTGCAGCCCAGTGGCTGCAGGTAGGTGGCATCGGCTGCTCCTGAGAGCAAAGTGGAGGGAACTATCAGTGGATGTGGGGTGGAGCTCTTGCTGCTACATGCACCCTAGAAGGGCTGCGGGCTGTGGGGGCTGTTCTGGGTTCTTCCGGGGGGGGATCTCCACAGCCCAGCCCCACGCCAGGAAGAGCCTGGTGCTACCACCAGCCCCAGCCCACAGTGGCAGCCTGCCTTCATCCCATGGACAGATCTGGAGGCACACGCTCCCCAGGAAGAGCCTGGCATGACTCCCCAGCCCATAGCCTTCCCAGTGCATGTAGCAGCAAGAACCTTGACCCCCTTTCCCGTGCCCTGAACCCACTGACAGTTCCCTCTGCTTTGCTCCCTGCTGCAGTCCTGGGAGTGACCAGTGCCACCTGCCTGCAGCTGCTGGGCTGCACTGAGCCCCCCTCCCCCAGTCCCTTCTCTAGCCCCAGCCCTATTCCCTCCCTTACTGCCATGGGAACATATCCTTACTTGTTACCTTATAAACTGGGTTCCCTTTATGCAAATTCAAGTTATGTGCAGTTTGCCAAGAACACATGTACTGCATAAAGTGAGGGAAACCTGTATAGAATCTAATTATTGGAGGTTTCCCTTGAATTTGTCCCCCTCTCATTGCTACCTCAGGGAAAATAAGTCTAGGGTTTCAGGTAGCCCCTTCCCCCTCTCCTTATTGTTAGACCCTGATGTCCCTGAGCACATGGAAATGAGAAGTAATTTTGAAAACATTAGCCTTGAAATTAAACTCAGCTGTAGCACTTTGCATATAGAACACATACAGTTTGCATATAGAACACATACACTGCAGGAGCTGGTGAGCCTGGGTATTGGGAGGGTGGTTCTTAAAGGGCTGGAGCTGGAGCTGGAGTGGGTGGGGCAGCCGGGACAGCGGAGGGGGGGGGTCAGGAGGATCATGAGAGAGCCCTCCACACAGCGTGGGGCAGTGGAGAACAGCGGGGATTGCTCCCCCACC